CTTATGAATTTTTAACTTTAACAAAAATTAGTTATTTACTGCAAACAACTGTTGCAATACTGTCAACATTCTTATATTAATGAATGGCAACCATCTCACTGAGTCTTTTTCTTTATGTTTTCTTGGATTATCGTTCAATACTGACTTCTTATGGAAACCATATATACAATCAATTGCCCAAGGTCCAAAAACACATCATAAACATTGATGGACCAAGCTTGATTTTCTCCCATTGTAGTAAGGTTGCATCTCTTTCTTTTTTCTGAAAATATTATCATGATTGTTGCTTGAAGTAGCATATCTAGGTCCATCAACCAAAGTTTATTCTCATTTTGACTTTTCATTTTGCATGTCTTTATCTGTCTCTGCATTCTCTTAAAATTTATATTTGTCTAGTTTTTTCGCTGCGCTTTTTTGTTGTTGTTGTTTTGTTTTTATTCACTCCCAAAATGGCTGCAAGCAACCACTATTAAGTTAGGAGTTACTAAAAAAATAATAGAGTTTAAGAGCGAAGGAATGGTTGATAGAAGACTTGAAAAGTTGTAGATTGTATGTGTGAGGAAAACATAAAGATGATAGAAAGTGTATAGGAAAAATCTAAAACCTTTCAGTTAAAGCAGTTAGCAAATCAGCCGTAGAGTGAGAGGATTGAAAACTGTGTTGATTGTCTGACAGTAAGTTATTTGACTCAAGATGTGATGTTCCAGATGCTATTTTCCAGCAGGTAGGAAAATAAGGTTTAGTCAATTATCAAATAATTCAGAGAGAATTAAAGAGAGTTCTGTTAAAATAATGAGTTAACCTGTTTAACTGGAATGGAAGAAAGAAAATGGTCATAAGATTCAAATTAAAATTAGAAGGAAAGTTTTTTGAAAATAGTTGCAAAGACCTGCCTTATCTTTTGGAGAGGTAATAAGTTAAGTCCCTTGAATGAGAGATGGAATTTTAGACCTAACTTTTTGTTAAAGATTTTCCAAAAGTTTCTAAAACCTAACTTTTGAGATAAAATATGAAGTTTTGTAAACTGAGAATAATGGTGCTTAGCATCAGAGAACACCTTCTTACATCAATTTCTTGCAATCATAAATAGGTGTAATTCTCAAGAAAGTTGGTTTTTGAAAAAGATGAAAAATGATTATCGTTAGATAATCATTTTGTGTAGCAGCACAAGAGGGTAAAAACCATGAAGTAGAATAAGGCTTGACTTGGAACCGACAAGAAGAAATTGTCTTGTCTTGTCTGGATCCGGGAGGTTACATAGGAGGCGCATTTGTTAGTGGAAAAAGAAATGACATCAGCCCAAGGACTGTCATTAAAAAAACCATGAAAAGAATCCCAGTCAGCTTTAGGGTAGTAGTAAATAGAGTAATAATAGGTCCAAAAAAGAAGTATGAGATAAATGATTTATAGAGATCATTGCATAGTCAGCAACACCTAAGGGAAGGTTGCTTTGCAGACCATAAATATTTTTGAAAGTAATATTTGAAACAGTTAGATTATGGGGATGGTTTTTTATGTTTAATATTTTGGTTAACTTTGATCATGATTTAAGTTCAAAGAGAACTTGACTCATAGATAGAGCATCTTGAACGATGAGCTATGCAGTTGCCTTAGTCCTGTTAATTAACCAAAGTATGTAGGGCTCCAAATGTGGCCTCGACAATGCACACTGAAGGCATTAACAAGGACACCATCCATGTGCAACATGGTATTGTTAATACTCTACTATATTTAGTAGTTATTGATGCAATCAGCCTCTCTGAGAACTACCACAGAGTTTGGAAAACTTTACTACCACTCAGCTTCATAACCATTAAACTAAGTTTTAGAGTTGTACCCTCATTAGGAGATAACAGGAAGAGTCACTATCAAGGAGGCACAAGTAAAAATCTATAAATAGAGTCAAAAAGATCCAGCATTCCTCATCCTAGGCAGGAAACAATGTCACGCAGTTTTACTTCTACGATAGTCTAATAGTTGAAGAAGAGGTTTAAGGATAATTAACAAAATTAAAGGAATGTATATATATACATATATATATATATATATATATATATATATATATATATATATATATATATATATATATATATATATATATATATATATATATATATATAAAAGGAATATATGAAAGGAATACACATTTTATATGGTCATAATTTTTGAATGCTGAGGAATAATACTATGAAGCTTAAACTTTATAGATATATATAAGTCTTGTTGAGAGCAGTAAAAAATTTTTCATCAAATTTTTTTTGTACTGCTTAAATATTAAACATATTTGTTCCCAGCCTCCAAATTCTTATTTGCTCCCATCCTCCTTAATAAAATGTTCCATAATTTTTCACAATAACATTAAAGTTTTTAAAAAAAGATCTTAACAAGATTTAAATAATTAAAATTCTTTTATTCTTCAGTTTTTAAAGTAAAATATACATTTTGATATTTTATATATTTGATATATTTGATATATAGATTGGATATCATTTATAATATAAACACCTACTGCGCTCAGCTGAGCTCAGAAAATTTGATTGTAAATTTTTGGTTGTAAATCTATATATGAGAGTTTAATTTAAAGTAGACCACATGTGCGGCCTAGTGTTTTCTGCTTGTGTAAAGGTAAGTTTTAATAAAAATGTTGCGCTTTTTAAGGGGGTTTTAAAAAAAGCAAGCATAAAAAATAAATTTTCATGTTTCTTTTTATTTCAATGTATGATATCAATAGACTAATATAAACCGTTAAGAAATTAAAATGTTGTAAAATTATCTTGCTGGCCTCATATTTCTTTTTTATGTGATTTTTTTTATTTTCACCAGTATTTGAAAGGTAAAATTTTACCCCATTTTTTGGGTAAAATTGATATACTGAGCTCAAATATCACAGTAGGAAAAAAATTATATCAGTTTTAGTTTGTAGATTACATTTACAAAAAGAAATTACTTTAGCATAAAATTTGATTTTAAAGGGTTTTGCTCACGTATAGCCCACTGTGCATTGCTGCAAAAAAAGCGATCCTTTTCTTTTATATCCTTATTTATTTCCTTAACCTTTCTTTTTATATCAAATTTTTGTTTATTATGATATGGTTAACTGAGTGTATTATTTACTTTTTTTTTCTCGGTGTTTCTTGACATACTCGAGTCCTTAATGAAAGAGGGGGGGGGGTATGTTTATTAAGTTTTTGGAAAATTTTCCCAACCACCCTAAATGTATTCAACAAAAAATTCTCAAAAGTGTAAAAAAAAAGTTCAGTGAAAATCGGACTTGAACATTTAACAATAATTTTTTTAGTCACCGATAAAAACAAAAACTTTCGGTGTAAATAGGCGTTAAAAATCGTCGACCTAGTAAATCTCAATTTGACAAAAATGAATTAATGGTTAATTTCTCACCAAAGTATTAAACTTATATCAGCATATAAAATCCTATTGAAAGTATGCTATTACAGCTATTAAAAAATGTCCTTTTGACCGTAAGCCACTCTAGAATTAAATAATTTTGTGCGTGTTTTGTAAAAAATATTAGTTTAAATTGATAAAAATTTTTTTAAGTTTTATAAAATTGAATTTTTATCAAACCCCCTGCCCTCTCCTCTGTATTATGGACTCGACAGTACATTTTTATTTACTACAAAATTGTTCACTCAAGTTGTTTCTCCGCCTAGCGATCTTGTTTGTCATGGATCGTGTTTCAGATTTATAGAGTTTAGAGAGATACGTAACAACAATTAAAGGACTGTAGTGCCCTTAATTCCTTTACATTTTCTAAAAAACTTGAAAATGTAAAGTTAGAATTTTAAAATATTTTAAAATTTTAAATGAGAATCTTACTTTTTTTTAAAACAATTTTCTTATGAAACTCGTTACTTTCGGACGCAAGTAAACAAAAGATGTGTGCCTAAAAAAAATGCTTTATTTGCCATATTATGTACATTTAAATTAAAAAAAAGCTTAAGTCAAACTATTTTTTTAAGTTTATATATTATGAAATTGGTCATGTATATATGCATATATATATATATATATATATATATATATATATATATATATATATATATATATATATATATATATATATATATATATATATATATATATATATATATATATATATATATATATATATGTAGGTAGATGTGTGTCTGTGTGTGTGTGTGTAACATATAAAGCTGTGTTTTTCATGTATAAATAGGTGTGTGTGTTTCTGTGTGTGTGTGTGTGTGTGTGTTGTGTAACATATAAAGCTGTGTTTTTCAATATTTTTATATTGAAAAACACAGCTTTTTTAAGATGATCTTAAATTTTAAAACTTAAAATTTAAGTTTGCTAAACTTGAAGTTTAAAGAAGTTATGTATGTATATATCTATATTATTATATAATTTAACAGAAAATAAAATTAAAAAAGAACAGTTTGATTTATTTTATTGTGATCTAAAGTATGTTATACTCCAACAACAGTTTAATGTATAAAACAGCAAAGTTACATCAGAAGCAACATAAAGAACAATTATTACTTCGAATGTAATAATAATAATCATCAAGCAAATATAATAGAAAATTGCAAAATTTCCATTAAAAGAAAATAAAAAACTTTTGGCCAAAGTGCTTTTTAAGAATATTTTTCTTTGTTTACAAATCTCCGTGTCGAAAGAGACACGAATAAGCGTTCGTTTCGACAATAATATTGTAGATATTGTATTTATATAAGTTAATACTGTATTTAATATAGTATCTCACTCGGTTCTCAAAATAAAAAAAGCTATAAGTAGTTAAGTTTATAAGTAGTTAGAATATTTGGATAGAAGATCTGGAGAATGGCTCCGACTCCAGCTCCGGTTCTTCTGAAAATGGTTAGTCCAACTCTGGGTCCAAATAAAATCGCAATCCAGCTCCAGCTCCCCATTTCTGATTTTTAATTTTGTTTTGATCTGGGTCAAAATGTATAAAATGCGGATTAGAACTGAGTTGTAGGTTTTTCGAAATTTGATTTTAGGGTTTGTTGAACAGAAAATTCCTTTGGCATTGCCGAACTCAAGTGATCAAGATCCAGTAAACAGAAATTCATTTTCATCCGTTTGATATATTTTTTTACTTGCAGTTAATGTCATACTTCGTATTTATTGAGTTATTTGTATTTTACTTTTATATTTTTTGTATTGCAAATTGTATTTTTTAAATCCACATTTACAGAAAATATTTTATAGTCTTTTACTTTGGTTAATTTTTATGTGACCCTCAATCCTCAAAAAATACCGGCGAAACCTTATTAAAATAGAAAATAAAAAAGTCCTCAAAACTAAAATTTACCCGACTGAATTGTGTCAATTACCCAACTAGCCTACTAAATTCGTAAAAAAAAAAACTTAAACTTAAAAATCACCTTCATTGGGGGATTTTAACACCCCACCTCCACATACACACACCCCGCCCCCTTCCCCCCGTTAAATCGCCTCTGATTAGAATTCATAGTTTATCAACATGTCTTGATTGGAACAATGTCAAATTTACTTGATTATTAAAACCAGACATTTTTATTTGAGAACTTTAAGTAATGGATTTTAACTGAATTTAAATGTTTTATTAAATGGCTTTAACTGAATCAGAATTTTTTAAAAAGGTTTGCTTAAGAAGTTTTGAGCAAATCCAATTCAATTTTATAAGTTTCTAAAATCAAAACGTTAACATTCCATTTTGACATTACTAAAAATCACCAAAAATATATTTCATAAAACTTCCCTTTCCGTTTTTATATCAGGAAGAAACTCTTAAATGTTATGTAGTGGAGTTGGTGAATAGTTCTTTCTATTAAATACATTTTATTTGTAATATTTTCTTCGAAATTTCTTTCTTAAGGAGGATTCCAAACATTTTCTATAAGTGATCCAATAACGAAAAATTTACAAAGATTTACGTTTCACTCTAACTAAAAGCATACTTCCATTTGTGGCAACAATCCTTGTTTTATGAGTTTTTAATATTGCTATTGGTTTATAATTCTTTCGACAATGCTAAACCTTCCTACTTACTTTCCACGTGTCTAAACCATCACCAGGGTGGAATGTTAAACAGGTTAAATGGTGCAGTCCAACAAGTACTTTCTCATATTTTTCTTTAATACTTAAGCCTCCTATGTTTACACCTGGAAAGTACTCTCTCACTAAAGCAAATCTAAGAGTGTTATACGAGGATTTTTTAGCAAATGTTAGCTTGATTTATCAAGTGAGTATTTTTTTAATACTAAATCTGCAATAGTTTTTTTCAATCATTTTGAGTAAAAATCCTTTTGTTTTGTCCGTTCTAGTCCTTTTTTCTCTCTCATTTTTTTTTTGCCCTTTTGGGCAGGCATTGTTCTCTTCAACATTTTTACATCTGACTACTCTAACTTTTCAGTTATTGCATCAATAGTGGCCTGTCTATTTTCCTCGACTTTCTTGTTAATTTTCTTTCACTACGGGGTATTAGGGTTCTCTTACATTTACTAACCCTCTTTAGTTTCAAGTTCTCTAAGTTTCAAAAGCAGAAACTTGCAAAATACCACATCTTCTGGCGATTTTTCTTTAATAAAGATTAGTACTTGTTAGGACTGACCCAATATCAGCATTTTTTGTGGTGATAAGTCCCTAATTTTTCTCCTATATATATATATATATATATATATATATATATATATATATATATATATATATATATATATATATATATATATATATATATATATATATATATATATATATATATATATATATATATATATATATGAGAAAAATTAGGGACTTATCACCACAAAAAATGCTGATATTGGGTCAGTCCTAACAAGACTTTATAATATCTATATAATATATATAGGATATATATATATATATATATATATATATATATATATATATATATATATATATATATATATATATATATATATATATATATATATATATATAGATAGATATATATAGGATATAGATATCTCCCGTTAAGATACCGCAGTAAAGGATTTGTTTAACTACTCACTTTTAAAAACTTTAAAAAGTTTTAAAAACATTTAAAAAATCATATATGGGGCTGTTCATTAATTACGTCAATAATTTTTTGGCAGTTTTTACCTCCCCTCCCCCCCCCCCCTCATCTCCCTTGTCAACAACTTGTCAAACTTTTAGTGACTCCCCTATAAAATTATGCCAACATTTGATAACTCCTTCCCTCCCCCCCCTCCCCCAAAAAAAAATAATAATAATAATAAAATAAAATTCAAATGGAAAAAAAATGTTTTAAATTAACTAGTTTACAACTGAAACAAAAAAGTGGTTCAAAGTAAAATGTTTAGAAAAAAAAAAAAGTAATCAAATTTTAACTTATGAACATATTTCAAATGAATATAATAATTTAAAATTGCAAATGCTTGCTCTGAACAAAAGTGAATTACAGTTAAAGGTATAGAAAAAAAAGTAAACTTTTAACTTATAAACATAATTCCAATTTAAAAATGCAAAGAATTACTCTTAAGAAAAAAAAAAATTAAAAAGATTAAAGGGCTCACAAAAATGCTTACACGTTTAAATTATAATCATATTTCAAATTAATAAAGTTCTCCTTACTTTAACATTAGATCTAATACAAATTTACAGTGAAAGCCAATTATTTTTAATAGATTCTAGAACAAAAAAGAAGTATTTAACATATTGTATCAACCAGAGAAAAGCAACCTTTTTGAGACAAAATAGCTAAAAGTTACAATATACAAAGTTTTAAATTTTTGAAAGAGCTGCCAACATCTTTATTTTAATATTATATTTAGGGATGCAGAGTCCCGAAAAGGAATATAAATTATAGGATAGGAATTAAAATACTAAAAGTTGAGCGACTATTTAACACAGAAGTCCAAACGCTGTCTAATTTTCCTTTTCTTAAATAGTTAAATTTATAAAAAAAAGTGACATATTCAAAAAAAAATAGTGTTGACGTCAACTTTTCTTGACCTTCCCCCTTCCCCCTTGTCAACAATTGTCAAAAAAATTCAGACCCCACCCCCTCCCCCCTATTTGTTTGACGTAATTAGTGGACAGCCCCTAAGGTAAATATATTTTTACCATAAAATGAAGAACTTTCAAGAAACAATTTTTGACTAATTTAAGTATATTTTTTTGAAAAAACTTTAAAAACTGATTAAAAGCTCTGATAATAGACTTAACATGTGCTCGGTGGCATCATGCATCATGGTTGTAAAGAGTGGCAGCAACAAATAAAAAGATTTATTATGAGTTGAAACTTTATTTTAAACAACGAATGAACTTATAACAACAATTTTTTATTTCTCATATCAAAAAAACGATTATTTTAAAAAAATAGTTTAAAATAATCAAATTTATTAGGTGGCCTAGTTAACTGTCATACAGCTGTTAAAATTTCATACTTTGCCAGTGCAAGTAGTGCTGCTACATCAGTTGATGTACTTGATCAGTTATCAGTCTTGCTTGTTCCACCTATTTGTCAGTCGATGTAGCAACACTCCTCACTTTACCTTTTTGCTAGTTAATTAATACTATTCCTAAATCCAAATTTCGGTATTATTCTGTAAAGGCGTTTTTGAAATTATTCAAAAATACATTTACGGAATGTATGTATGTATGTATGTATGTATGTATGTATGTATGTATGTATGTATGTATGTATGTATGTATGTATGTATGTATGTATGTATGTATGTATGTATGTATGTATGTATGTATGTATGTATGTATGTATGTATGTATGTATGTATGTATGTATGTATGTATGTATGTATGCATGCATGCATGTATGTATGTATGTATACACTACCGTTCATAATTATTTGAATGATATTACTTTTTTTAAAAATGCTATTATTTATTTAACTATTTTTTATGTTTATTTTTGCACTATTAGATACCGTAAATATACTTTGAATAGCGGGGTAACTATGAATACAAAGCTATTTTATTTTATTTTTTTTTTAAGTTGTTATTATGGTAAGAATTTATACAAAACTGTTCAAGCCTCAAACATCAAAGTATTAAAAATAGTTTATATTTTGATTATTTAAAGTTTTACTTTGTTTATTGATTGTTATTGTTTCTCAAAAATGAATTAAATATTTTAAATATTTTCCTCAAAAAAATTATTCAAAATACTTTGTACACTTCCTCAGCTAGTGTAGAAGCTTGTTGTCTAAGTAGCATAACTTTTGTTTATAAATTTATTATTATGTTTGCCTACTATAGTTATGTTCCATTGCTATACCATAACATATTTTGTTGTATACATTTTTTTGCATACAGGATATTTTTTTTGCATACAGGGTATTTTGCATACAGGGTATTTTTTTGCATACAGGGTAACTTTGAATAACGTTCTAAGTGCACTGTATAAATAGTCGGAAACATGATTCAGCTTTAAAATTTCATTGGTCATACATGTATTATATATAATATATAAAGTATCGTACATAATATTATTGTAATTAAAAATTAAAATATCATGTGTATAATCTGTAAATCACACATACACACATTGTTTTTGTGTGTGTTTATGTGTGTCTTTGTTTGTATTTTTATTAATACTTGTGTTTTTAGTAATTTAAATAAATAAAGTTAAAAACAGATCTTTAAGAGGATTAGCAAGAAATACATTTTATAATATATTACAGCTATGATCAAACTGTCACTAGTTACATAAATCACATATTGCTTGACCAGTATTTTAAAACGAAAAACAGTCCGAATGAGCCCAGGTTGTGCATTTTGAACATTGACTTCTCTCCTATGTATATATATATATATATATATATATATATATATATATATATATATATATATATATATATATATATATATATATATATATATATATATATATATATATATATATGTATATATATATATATATGTATATATATATATATATATATATATATATATATATATATATATATATATATATATATATATATATATATATATATATATATATATATATATATTAAATACATAAGTTCAATATACATGCATATATTGAACTTATGTATTTAAAGCACACATAACATATGTTAGTAAAAGCTTTTACTCAACTTTTTTTTTCAAAGTGGCTCATTATATTTTTCTTGACCCAAAATAGTTTTTGAACACAACTGCACTTTTAAAAATCATGCAAATAATAATTTGTAGGGCTGGCATCATGATAAACGCGAACTGTCTCATATTGCCCCAATGTCTCATTTTGCACCGCATTACCCTATATATATATATATATATATATATATATATATATATATATATATATATATATATATACATATATATATATATATATATATATATATATATATATATATATATATATATATATATATATATATATATATATATATTTATATATATATATATATATATATATTTATATATATATATATATATATATATATATATATATATATATATATATATATATATATATATATATATATATATATATATATATATACTATATACAAGGCTGGCGCAATGGGGGAGTGTGACACCCCACTCCCATCAATTATTTTTTCGTTAAACTTAGTTGGCAAATATGATCCTTTTTGACTATATAGTCGGCAAATGTAGACCCTTTCGACAGATTAGTCAGTAAATTTAGACAGTCAGTCGGCAAATTTCGTTATGGCAGTCAGCAAATTTTAAAATACGAGGACTTTTTTTTTTTTTTTTAGTCGGCAAGAATTGTAATGGCACACACCCCCACCCCCCACGTGACACCTACTAGCGCCGGCCCAGTATATATATATACATATATATATATATATATATATATATATATATATATATATATATATATATATATATATATATATATATATACATATATATATATATATACATATATATATATATATATATATATATATATATATATATATATATATATATATATATATATATATATATATATATATATATATATATATATATATATATATATATATATATATATATATATATATATACTCATATATATACGTTTGTGTGTGTCTGTGTTTATATAGTGTTTTTGCAAAACACTAATAAACTTTAAATCCTGTATAAAAAATATGTTATGAAATATGTGTACATACAATATTGTATTAAATATGTGTATGTACATACAATACTGTATTGAATTAAATTTGTTGAAAGTACTGTTATTCATATTAAATTTGTTTTTGTTTAACATTTTATAATTATACCATCCCACTTTAATTTGAAAAAAAATCGATACAAGGCAGTATATAAATTATACTAAGTATCAATTTTATGGTAACAATAAACATTATTAGATAAAAAGATTAATAGATGTTCATTGGTTGCAAGTTGCCACTTTGTACAATAAAGTTTAAAAACTTAATCCGAAAAAGAATGGAAAATCCAAAGTTTTTACAAATATACAAAATATAGCAACTGTACAACATGTTATGTTACCTCAATGATGTTTAGTGCTTCTGGTCAAAATGTCTCTGGTTATGTTTAAAAAGCTGGCCATTTATGCATAACAAGAACCAAAGTGGACCACCTAACGTATATACAATAAAAATACAATCAAAGTCAAGACGGTTTGATTCTATTCACTTTTTTGACTGATTTGTAACTGTTTTTTGTCAAATTGTAGGAACATTCTTATTAGTTATAATCGAAGCAATCTTTGCTGTAAAAAAGTACTTGAATTTACAAAAGAAAGAAGTATCTTGTTAAGAAGAAAACAGTATCTTGTTCTATAACTGATAACTCTACCCATTTATTGCAATCTCTTGATGTTGCATTTTATTGATCTTATAAAAAATATTGAAAGAATATACTTGATCGATTGAAAACCTCTTGTTTAAAAAAAGCACAAACAATTACAAAAAATAAATCTCCTTTGTTCTTTATCTACTTATAATCATTTGTCAAAGCAAAAGGTAATCAACAACTTAGTAGCTTAATGGTTTTGAAAGAAATATGGTATTTACCCATTAGATATAAGTATCATCTTCAATCCTTCATCGATTAGTTGTAGCTTTAGTACGCTGAACAGTAATTAATGTACTTTAACAATTTTTTCATGTTGATGAGAAAAAACAGACTCAAAGGAAAAAAAAAAAATTTTGACCTTGTTAAAAATTTTTCTTTTGAGGATTTTTTGGAAAATGTAAAGATGTTCCACTTGCATTGTTTGTAAGGGATACTGATGTAAATGAGACTTTTTTATGCTAGCCCATTTAAAAAATACCCATTTAAATAAAATAAAATTCTAAATGGGTGTTTGTTATGAAATAATATTATATTACTTTAGCAATAATAACTGTGAAACGAGACTGTGATTTTTATTAAATTTGATACGATCAACCATAATATTTTGCTTGAAAAACTCAGTACTACGACAAAAAATTATCTATTAAAATGGTACCAAAGTTATTTTACAAATCGAAAAAAATATGTACCGTTTAAAGATAAACACCATAATGAAATGATTAAAATAACATGTGGTGTTCCACAGGGCTCGATCTTAGGACCTCTTTTATTTTAAAGTTTATATAAACGATATTTACAGAGCATCAAAACTAAGAAGTTTGCAGATGATACGAATTTATTCTTATCAAAAGCTAACATTAATGAACTATTTTCCGAGTTAAATAAAGAACTTGTTTACATATCAAACTGATTTAAATGTGAAAAATTAACCATAAATATTGAAAAACAAAATTCTTTTTCACTCTGTATCAAAAAGGTTGTTATTGCCAAAAAAAATTACCTCAATTATTTATAGACAAGGTTGAAATAAAAAATGAGACGTCCACAAAGTTTTTAGGACTTTATCTAGATGAAAATGTTGAGTGGAAACCACATATCGATTATATTAGCTCTAAAATTGCTAAATATATTGGAATTTTATTTAAAACGAGAAATTGTTTTAGATCAGAGATCAGATCAGAGCACCTCGATTTCAATCGACAGCTAAAGAAGACAAATCTTGGGACCATTATTATTTTTACTAAATGATTTATATTCAACATCAAACTTATTAAATTTAATCTTGTTTGCGGATGACTCCAATTTGTTTTATTCGCATAGAGACATTAGGACACTTTTTAACATAGTTAACAAAGAATTACATAAAATAAATGAGTGGTTTAGGTGTAACAAACTCTCTTTGAATGTCAAAAAAACCAAGTTCATCCTATTTCATAAACCAAATAAAAACGAAAATATTCCTCTTAAACTACCTGATCTTAAAATAAATTATACTAATATAAAAAGAGAAAATTTTATAGACTTTCTAGGTGTGGTCTTGGATGAAAATTTGTCGTGGAAGCTCCATATAAACACTTTAGAGAGAAAGCTCTCAAGAAATATTTCATTAATGTATAAAGCAAAACCTTTCCTAAATATCATTTCCTTAGGAAGTTTATACTTTTCATTAGTACATAGTCATCTAAGCTATGGTAACATGGCCTGGGCAAGCACAAACTGTACTAAGCTTAAAAAACTCTACAGTAAACAAAACATGCCTGTAGAATTGTCTTCGGAGTAAGTAAAAAAGCGTCTGGTGAACCTCTCTTATGCAAACTTGGAGCATTGAGTATATACAAAATTAACATACATCTTGTTTTACAGTTTATGTACAAAATAAAAAATGGACTATCTCCGTCGATATTTCAACCTTATTTTAGCGAAATAAGTCATAAATACTCTACTAGATTCTCATATAACAATTTTGTCATCCCAAAGTTTACATTAAAGTTAAATTCATACTCAATCCAACACCGCGGACCTTATTTGTGGAAAATTTTTCCCCAGATTGTTTCTATCAAAAGAAATACACTTGAACAGTTCAAATCTGAATCAAAGCGTTTTTTATTATCTACGGACTTAAATTTTCCTTTTCTTTTTAGTATAAAAATAAACTAGCAACAATTTATTTCTTTTATTTGTTTTAACTTTTACTTGTTCTAAATTTATTTTACTAAACGAATTTATATATAAACAGTTATATCAATTGTAAAACGTAGTTTTTCACATTTTTACATATTTTATCACAAACAATTTATCACGATTTTATATATTTTGTTGTAAAAAACGACCTGTAATGAAGTCACTATGGGGCTCGGTGATAAGACAAACTGATGTCTTCTTCTTGCTCCAGCCATTTGTTTTATTATTTATGTTATTTTATAAATTGTAACTTTTTACGGCAAAAAATTGAAAAATAAAAAAAAAAAAAAAAAAAAAAAACGTTCATCCACGATTGTTGACCTATTTAAAGATACAAAGAAGTATAGCTACATGTATTTATGTGTAATAAAGCAAGATTATTTATACTAACCTATAGGTTAGTATAAATAATCTTGCTTCATTACACACAAATACATGTAGCTATACTTCTTTGTATCTTTAAGTGAACAATCTTAGTATTACCTCAAAGTGTATTTTTATTAATACTGGGTTATCATTTTAAGGTATTATTTTATAATTTAATTTACTTAGGTTAACAAATATATATATATATATATATATATATATATATATATATATATATATATATATATATATATATATATATATATATATATATATTTATTTATATATATATATATATATATATATATATATATATATATATATATATATATGTTTTATATAAAACAAACAAACAAAACATATATATATATATATATATATATATATATATATATATATATATATATATATATAAATATATATATATATATATATATATATATATATATATATATATATATATATATATATATATATATATATATATATATATATATGTTTTGTTTGTTTGTAAACATTTATAACTTTATTTATTTTCTTTTAAATTTTATCTTATTTAAAATGTTATATTATGAAACAAAAAAAATTATAATTAAATTGATACAATATATTTAGCCAAGATTGTGTGTGTGCAGGCATTTTTTACTATTAGGACTGTATAATATAAAAAGTTGTTTCATAATTCATGTCTTGAATTTATTTTTTAGTATTCAGTCTGATAAACTACCATTGCCCCCTCTTCTCCTTGCTGCTGTGGAAAGAAAAGAAATAGACTTTAGTATTCTAAAAAGGTCAAAACTAAAGGAGTATGTTATGGATTTTCTTTTTGATGTCATGAAGCAACAGTACGGGTTGTAAGTATTTTGATTACTGTGTAAATTATAATTTAAAATAGTATAATTTTTTAATTTTTAAAGTAAACATTTATTATCAGTATCAAAGTTGGCAAAATAATGGTATTTTATATTTCTTAACATAGCTGTCAATAATAATAAAATATGTTATTGCTTTTCACTAAAATAAATGCTTTATAGATTTCCAAGTACAAGTAACTTCTATGAAATAGCAAATGAGCTTTTCCTAAGGTATCCTTCTCTAAAACCTCGTCACTGCAATGGCTCTGTGAGTATTTAACTGTATAATTAAAACTAATAATATCAATGGTGTTATAAAGTTATATAGCTAAAGAAGTTTTTTCTTTTATTCTATTGTCAGGAACTTCTTGTGCATTTGTTGAAGGCAAAATTTAAGCAAGTTAGGCGTCCTCTTCTAAATGTTGAGCAAGTTGCACAGTTTAAAATAAAGTACTCTAGAATTAATTCTGATCGTGAGCGAAATTCTGTCTTGCTGAATGAGTCTGTTAATATTTGCTCAGCAAAACGTCACTGCCATCATTCAAGTGATAAGGTAAGCGCGATTTCACAGCATTTATAATACATATTTATTTGAGAAAATGCATAGTGTATTTGATTTGATAGCATAAATCCGTAAAAAAAATAGTTACATTTTAATTATTATATAATAGAATGTGGATGATGGTATAACTCAAGATATTATAAAAAGCATGACGAATGAGTGTCAGAAATCGTGCCCAGATATTGAATTTTTGGCTCACCAGATTATCTTGTATATCTTGTATATTGAGGCATTGATATATCTTGTCAATTGAGGCATTAAAATATACATGCCGAAATAAAAGAACTTTGGATGTCCTTAATAAATTCCCAGCACTTTACTATGAAAAAGTTGTAAGTGGTTTATGTAGTATTTTTTTGTATCTATATTGCTCTTTTAATGTTGTCTTAAAACTGCAGCTTTCCTGAATATGAGCAATAATTCACCCATTTAATGAACTTGATAGCGGCTTAACACAAGAACTTGAATAACAATTTTTCAGTTTTATTACTTTTATAAAGAAATTTACTTTCAATAAACATAAACTATATATAAAAATACATAACAAAATTAAAATTATAAAACTTAATAAAGTAGGGTTTGTAATGTACCTGGAAAACCTGGAAAATTCGTTAATTTTGGCTTAAGTCATGGAAAACCTGGAAAAGTCAGGGTTTTTTTTTTTTTTCTTTAGTTTGAAAAGTCAAGGAATTCAGATTAAGTTACCCGTTTTACAATTCAGCTATTATGTTTTTGTTGATGCTACCTTTTTACTTTTTCTGAAATTTTGTTTTTCTTAGTGTTCATTCTTAGTCATCCTTAATAATAAGATCCATTGTAACATGTATAATAAGATCCATACTAATATCCGACTTAACTAATAGCTAAGTTTTATAAGTTTTGTCATTTAAAGCATGTACAATTTTAGCATTTCTATTACATTAAATTAGATAGTAGTTTCAAACATTTTACAAAAACTATTGTTTAAAATAGTCAGGGAAAAGTGTTTGATTTTTCAAAAAAGTTGGGAAAAATTTATGGAATTTTATATAAATATTTGGCCACGAATCCTGTAAGACAATTAGTTGTATCTTTAAAGATATATTTACTGCCTTGGCGTGGGAAGTTCAAAATTAATTTTTCTGTGTTTATTAAACTCTATTGTCTGTTGTTTTTTTCTGCAATATTAATAAAAGTCTGCAAATATTATTTTTGGTCAGCTAAATAACATATGCTGCTCCAGGGTACCAGTTCCCAAATTTTTTAGAAAAGTCCTTGTAATATTAGGGTGGAATTCAAGGATATTTTTTTATTTAATCGCGTATTGAAGTCGTTTTCTTTGTTTTATTTTTAGCTTTTTGCAGCAGCAATGGTTATAACATATAGTTATTGACAATAACTGCTTGTTATTATTGGGTAGAATGAAGGAGGGAATGAAGAAGTTAATAGATTTAAAAATCCTTTGTCAGCTAGATGGCACACATGCAATCCGGTACTTGATGAGATTAGTGATGATAATAATTGTTAATTTAACATTAAAATTATTTATTTACTACTCTAATTTTGTAATTTTTATTTCATTTTTCTATTTTTAGCAACAATAAAAAACCTTCATTGTTTAATTTTTCCAAGCATTTTTTGTGACAAAGAAGCACTTTTGTTCACCATGACGCTAGTAAATTTTATTGATCGTTTAAATGATTGTATATCATTATATCATCGATTCGTTTAAATGATTGTATATCATTATATCATATAAGTCATTTTAATATTCCTTTATTTGAATAAAAATTGATGGAAAAATTATTGTGCTTATTTGCAATATTTATTTTGATATTTTGATGCAATATTTATTTTAATATTTTTAACATTTATATATTTTTATTCTAATTATTTGCATATATATTGTTTATATATTTATTTATTTAAATAGACTAATAAAATTAACTAATGCAATTTTTAATATTTATTAATTATATGCTTCTTTTTATTAGGATCCAATCTATCCAACTCCTGCTCTGAAAATTGAAGGAGATGCTATAAATCCAACACGAATAAGTCTTGTAGTTGACGGGCTGACACTAAGCAATTTTGTTCCTGATGTAACTTGTGGTTTGGGTCTTGTCATCTGCTCATATTATATTTTTGATATTGCGTATCCAAAGAAACTGCAAAAAACCCTGTCTTTTCTAGAACATTACGTTTTCGAACGAAGGAGTAAACTTCCTGGCAACATTCAAAACATTGCTAGTTTTTTGAACTTATAATATTAAATTATAAAACTCAATAACATATTGATGTTATTAGTTTGTTTCAAAATCTTTATTTAAATCAAGTTTATTTTTTTGAACTCTCCACTTTTTAGTTGTTTTTATAGAGAATTTTTTTCTTTTTTAACTGATATATTAGTATAATATTATATAGTATAATATTCCATAGTACATAAATCCTTCTATATAAATATATATATATATATATATATATATATATATATATATATATATATATATATATATATATATATATATATATATATTTATATAAAAGGATTTATGTACTATGGAATATTATACTATATAATATTATACTAATATATCAGTTAAAAAAGAAAAAAATTCTAAATATATTTAATACTATAGTATTCTATATAATATTATGTTTCATAGTACATATATATATATATATATATATATATATATATATATATATATATATATATATATATATATATATATATATATATATAGAAGGATTTATGTACTACGAAACATAATATTATATAGAATACTATAGTATTAAATATATTTATATATAATTTATAAATAGATATGAAAAGTGTATATAAATATGGTAAAAAATTAATAAACTTCAACTTTTATAATAAATTGTAATCTCTTGCCGATTATTTCTATTCTATGCAACAAAACTCATGAAGCTAAGTTAAGTAAAATAATCATGTTTCGTTTTAAAAATTATGACATATAACTTTATTTTAATCGTTATTGCTGGAAAACCAATTTTTGGTTTTACGGTTTGTCCCAATAAACGAACCAATTTTGATTATCCAGAAAACCAAAAAGCGTCGGCTTTCTAGAAAACCAACTTAGTTTGATTTTCTGGATATTCAAATTGGTTTTCTAGAAATCCAAATTACTTTGGTTTTCTGAAAAACCAAAATAAATTGGTTTTCTAGATATTCAAATTTGGTTCGTTTATTGGGACAAGCCGTAAAACCAAATTTGGTTTTTTGAAAAACCGATTTTCGTAAGAGTGTAGATGTATTATATAAAATACACTAATACCCTTCAACTTATTCTAGAATTTATAGCACTTAGGTATAGCAGTATTAAACATATAAATAATATTACTCATATATAATCAAAGCACCTCAAATCGGAAATCATAGAGCCCCATTGCATGGGGTAAATTGATCTTTTTCAAGGGTTGTTATAATGTTGAAATAAATCATGTGCATCATTTTTTCAAATTAAAACATTTATTTTTACTTAAGACAGGTTGTTCTAGTTTAGCTTAGTAACTAATAAGTTTTTATATCTATATCGGGTTGTTTGCAGTGAACAAACTACGGTGATCAATTCTCCCCCATCCTCCCCTACGCGAGGTGGTTAAGCTCGCAGAGTTTATAGTGCATTACCGTTGTTCAAATCATACAACATGATCATTATTATCATTTTTTTCTTTTTAAATTTTTTCTTTATTTTTATACAAAATATTATTAAATGTGCGCTGGTATTTTGTCCTAATAAGCTCTGAAGCCCAACAATAAAAAAAATTGATAATCCTGTCCTGCTAATCCGGAATGAGTTGCTGTGGACGCAAAAAAAAAACGCCTGTATCTAGCTAAAACTTTATTTTAACAATTTGAATTTTATATGCTAAAATAAATATAAATATAAAGGCCGGCGCGATAGGGGTGTGACACCTCCCATCAATGATTTTTAGTCGGCAAATCGGACCCTTAGTCGGCAAATTGGACCCTTTAGACTAGTTAGTCGGCAAATGTCAACCCTTTTGATACAGGTTTTGTCGGTATTCTAGACAGTCGGCAAATGTCGTCAAGGTAGTCGACAAATTTTGGAAAACGAGGACCTTTTTTTTTTTTTTTCGTCGGCAAAAGTTGTAGTGGCACCCCCCCCCCCACGTGACACCTACTCGCGCCGGCCCTGTATATATATATATATATATATATATATATATATATATATATATATATATATATATATATATATATATATATATATATATATATGTATGTATATATATATATATATATTCTATAAATATATACGGCAAGGTTGAAATAATTTAAAAACTTTTGTGTTAAGGGGCGGATTTGAACCCTAGCAACACGACACTGCTGACAGGGCACTAAACGACTGAGCTATCTAAAATATGCATGTAAGAGAAAACAAACCATTTTATAAACCTCATATAAGCTCTACGAATGCGGAAAAAGGGCGCATGTTAACCTTTTTTTTCTTCTTAAAAGAGTTTTTTTTTAATGAATTGTTTTTCTATCGTTGACTAAAAAAATATTAAAGTAAATTATGAATTAGAAAAGAAACGAATAGATAAGTATAGAAATGGTCGATTTAGTAAAGACCGTTATTTTTAATATTTTAATTCCTCACCTTCTATTATCTGTATTTCAGGGACGACGACACGGCTTTCGAAGTGTGTAGGGGGGGGGGGCACAACCGTCAATTCTTAAAAAAAGTTATCTATATCTAGATTTTCCTTATATTAAAAAAAAAGGCCTTTAGAAAATAGGTGGGGGAGGGCACGTGCCACCCTGTCCCCTCGTGTTGTCGGCCCTGTATTTAGGCCTACAACTGTCCAATCTAATTGAAAAATCATTAAAACATTCCAGAAACACTCTTGACTACATCTAAAGTAACCACCTGTACGGTTATGACCACTCCTAGAATTCTCTAGGAGTGGTCATAACCGTACAGGTTATTGCAAAATGCGTATAGGACGTTTTAAAATACGTAGTATTATGTGTTTTAGACGTTTTGAATTCCCGGATCTTAATTATTTCACGGTGGGAAAAAGATAGATAGATGATAAAAGACGCCTAAAACACGTAATACTACGTATTTGATACGTCTTATACATTTTGCAATTTTTAGACATTTATGCTAACCTTTTGGAGCCCAAAAATTTACTGATTAAGTTAATTTTTAGGAAAATTCCGAGTAATCAGATACCATAGATGGAATGACAATTCTACTAAAGATCGAATGACAATGTTTATTTAGGAGATGCACTACGTAAAAGTAAGTTATTGGTCACTCTAATAATAGTTAAATTTTTTTTTATTAATACAGTGTTTCTAATATTTACGAGGATTTTATAGTTGATAAAGCATCATTTTTAGCTAGCATACGTTTGTTTTATTTTCGAGAAATTTAAACTTTTAATAATTTTTAAAAAATAAATTTTTTGATAATTATTCAAAAGTAAAGAGTTTATGGCTTATCTCATTGATATTTAAATAAAACAACATTTAAATGATATAAACGGTAATAAATAACATCATTGTGTAATTTTTTGCTTTTGAACTTGAAAAACATGCTGTTGATAGAAGATTGAAAATACTGTAAATTGTAGGTATTGTTAAATTAGAAATGTAAAAATATTTTTTAAATATAATTAAAAATATTTAGTTATTACATTAATAAGCATTTTATAAAACAACAGTTGCATTTTTTTTGAATTTTTATTCTCTTTTGTTTATAATAAATTATTATATTATTTTTTTATAATTATGCCTACAAACAATTATACCTAAAAACACTATTATTACTGTATGTATGTATGTTTGTGTGTTTGTATATATGTATGTATGTATGTATGTATTAAGCATCAGCGATTTTTAACTTTTTTTATAAAAGTCAATTGCTTTAAGCAGGAGTACTGTTATTAGATCATAAAACTTTAATGTGCAAAATTAGAAACTTGCAAGTCTTCTCCATTCTGTGATATTTTAATTTAATTTTTTTTACATCTAAGTCATTGTAAAACAAACTTAAGTGAATTAAAATTAATGAATTTTTAGAAGAAGTGTTGGTGTAATACATTTTCCCGCATATTTTTATATATAATGAAATGAAAAAAGTTTTTTTTTTAATCTTTATAATTTTTCAGAAATGTTTGGCTCCTTTAAAAATGTGTAGTTTTACATAATAGTTTTATTACAATTATATGGCTCTAATTATATCTTTTATTTTTTTTAAATTATAACCATGTCAAGTTTAAACCCCCTCAATTTGAGGGTGCTGTAATTTTGCAGGGTCACAAAAACTGAACACTAAGAGATTATTGCCTGAAATTTGAAATTAGTCGAGCTCTAATCTCTAAAATTCTTTGCAAAACATTCTTATTTGGAATAAGTATGAACGTACGAAAGTTTAAAGTTTACACAATGCCTGTAAGTGTCAAAACTCAATCATCTAATCTAGTTTAGACCTCTGGTATATATAGATGGATACATACATGCATGCATATATGTATATATATTTGTATGTGTATGTATATATTTGTGTATATATATATATATATATATATATATATATTTGTATGTATATATATACATTTGTATGTATATGTATATATTTATATATATATATATATATATATATATATATATATATATATATATATATATATATATATATATATATATATATATATATATATATATATATATATGTTTGTATGTATATATATATATATATATATATATATATATATATATATATATATATATATATATATATTTGTATGTTTTTATATATATTTGTATATATGTGTGTGTTAGTATGTGCGTGAGTTCATCTCTGTGTGTTAAATAAATCCCAATCATAAAACCTCTTTAATCTCAAAAATCAATAGCATCTCCACCCACCTCTCCCCCCCCCTTCCCAAAATATTTTTTTGTTTTTTAATGGATTTAAAATTATTTTTAATCTATAGCTTTTTGTAAGTAGACAAACAAGAAAACTCAGTTTTAACTTTTATTTTGCATATATTTTCAGAAAAAAAAATCTTAGGTCATGATAACGAGTTTAATATAGGGATTAAAATATCATAAATACTACTCATTTTTCACGTTTATTTGTATTTCTCAATATATTTTATATTACAAATTTATCAAAGAAAAATTTATCAAGATATTTTATATTACAATTTTAAAAATGACTAAAGTACAAAAAACTATAAAAAAAATCATTGTCATCGTCAATTCTCTAAATCTGTCATTCACTAATATTCATGGTCTTTGAAGTAACTTTTCTTCTGTTGAGTCTTATCTCTTGCAAAGTTCACTAGGCCTATTTGCTCTTTGTGAGACTAATTTTAGTTCAACTGTCTCATCTTGACGGTTATCTTTTTTAATTTGTAAAGACTCCAATAGTCACATGCTTAGTTTGGGCATTTATATTTTTAAGAATTCACCCATTTGTCAAGAAACTTAGCTTTCCTCTCATTGTGCTGCTGCAATTTCCAATTGTAACCATTACTTTCACATCGACCAACAAAACAATTCTCCAGAAAATAGACTGTTTATTACTGCTAGAAACCATTGTAAAAAGATTTTGTCTAATATCAAAGCCCACTATTCTTAGATCACAAAATCTTGTATTTCATCTGAAAAATATCATTCCAGCCTCTGTATCACTCCACTTCATTCGTATCACTCCAGCTTCTGTATCTGGACAATATACCTGTTATAGTTTTGCAGAAGTGTTCTCCAGAGCTATACTTTCATCTATACTTTTAAAAGTATTTAACCAATGCTTATCAGAGTCTTGCTTTCCAGTCTGCTGGAAAGCAACATCTGTTATCCCTATTTTCAAAAATTCCGGAGAGTGATCTGACTCGTCTAACCACTGTCCCATTAGTCTTCTTCCTATCATAAGTATGTTTTTGAGTCTTTAATCAACAAACACTTAATCTCTCATCTTGAATCTAATAACATACTTATATATCTCTAATCACTTAATTCTCTAACACTTAATTCTAATCACTTAATCTCTAATCACTTAATTCTCTAACACTTAATTCTAATCACTTAATCTCTAATCACTTAATTCTCTAACACTTAATTCTAATCACTTAATCTCTAATCACTTAATTCTCTAACACTTAATTCTAATCACTTAATCTCTAATCACTTAATTCTCTAACACTTAATTCTAATCACTTAATCTCTAATCACTTAATTCTCTAACACTTAATTCTAATCACTTAATCTCTAATCACTTAATTCTCTAACACTTAATTCTAATCACTTAATCTCTAATCACTTAATTCTCTAACACTTAATTCTCTAACACTTAATTCTCTAACACTTAATTCTTAAATACAAACACTTAATTCTTAACTCTTGTCTTGAATCTAATAACTTACTTTCTGATCATATATGGGATTTGATCTTCTTATTCTACTGCTGATTTGTTAACGTTAATAAATAATAGTTTTTATCTTGCATTAGATAGATGTGGAGAGGCAAAGGCTATTGCTCTTCACATTGTTAAAGCTTTTAATATAAGTTAGGCATGCTAGTCTTCTCCATAGGCTCCTTTCTTATGGTATATCAGGTAACATCTTTAAGATTATTGAATCCTTCCTCCACAGTTTAATTTACATTAACAATATCCAAGAAATTCTTATATCTATAGTTGCATTGTTCACTGATGATACTACCATTTATTTGTGTCTTGATAATAAAGGCCAATAGTCTCTGATTACTTGAAGCTGGAAAAGAATTTTACATCTGCTACAGCATGGGGCTCTCAGTGGCTGGTGAACTTTAACTCAAAAATAATATTAAAAAATTAATATAAATCTCAATTTTTTCCAGCAAATCACAACCGCTATAATCTAGATTTTCCTATATTTATGAACACTAATGTATATTTCTTGTAGGATTAACTCTTACTTCCAATATTTCTTGGAAACTATATATCAAGTTGATTGCAAAATTAGCATCTGCTAAGGCTGCTGCTCTTTTTTGTGCTTGCCATTTTCTTACTCAGGATTCTATTCATTTTCTCTATAAATCTCAAATCCATCCTTGAATAGTGTTGCCATATTTTAGGCGGATCTTCGAATGATATCCTTTCTCTTTTAGACAAGGTGTAAAAATACGTTATAAACATAGTTGTACCTGCTCTTGCAGCCAACCTCCAACCATTATCAACCTCCAACCATTATGTTGGTTCTCTTTCTCTTTTCTATGAATATTTTAATGGAGACTGATCTAAAGAGATAATGTCTTTTGCGCCATCTATTAAAATTCATTCTAGTGTTACTCATCATTCAATTAAGTCTCATTGTTTTACTGTGACTGTTCCGAAGTGCTCCTAAAACTCTTTTTTTTCTTTTTTTTTCTCAAAGTTCTTTGGAATTCGCCTTCTTTCTTTTGTTTTTCTTATTCATATAGTTTGCAATCTTTTAAGTTGTCTGTTAATTGTCATCTTACCTTATAAATATCATCTTTTCTCTTCCAGTAACTTTCAACTCTAATAGTTGTTGCTTGCAGCATTGTTGGAATTAAAGATGTTGAAAAAAGAATTGATTTTAATGGAAAATGGATTTAAATGGAAAATAGTTCTTAACCAGTAAGAGTTTATTTAAAGATTTATTAGAGTTGAGTTTCTGTAATTGGTAAAACCAATTCTGTAATTTTCAATTACTTGTAGCACACTTTGCTCGCTTTTTTCATCTTTTTTGATGGATAATTAAGAGACTTGCATCAATTTTACATGCCTCAGCAGCATCATTAACAACTTTATTTAAAAAAAGTTCATTGCTTTGTTTTCCTCTCATATATGCACTTTTTTCAGTTTTCAGCCATTTATTGTTCACACTAAGTGTTTTAAACTGAAGCCAAAAGTTTTGTTTAATCAATAATGGAATTTTTGTATTTTTTGTCACTACAGGAACGGTTGGTATAATTTTTTTCAGCTCACCACATTAGTAAAATTGGAGTTTTTAAACAATATTATTTTTTTAGTAGGACTGGAGTTTCTTAACAATATTATTTTATTCATTGTCAGACAACTTTTTTGAAAGCAATGAAAAAGCTGCAATCTCCTTTGTCTCCAATCTCCTTTGTTTACATAAATTGATTATTAAATATTCTTGAGGTCCTTTCCTTGTTTATGAAAAAGTCCTGCAACTCATTGAAATCTCAAGTCATTGAAAGAAGTATTAACTTTTATTGGACCTGTTAACCAGTGCTTGACATACACAAGAGCATCAAAAGACATAC